ACATCATCTGTAAAACATGGTGGAGGCAGTGTGATGGCATGGGCATGCATTGGCTTCCAGTGGTACTGGGTCATTGGAGTTTATTGATGATGTGACAGAAGACAAAAGCAGCCGGATGAATTCTGCAGTGTTTACAGATATACGGTCAGCCCAGATTCAGCCAAATGCAGCAAAGTTGATTGGACTTCACAGTACAGATGGACAATGATCCAAAACACACTGCAAAAGCAACCCAGGAGCTTTTGAAGGAAAAGAAGTGGAATATTCTGCAATGGCTGAGTCAATCACCTGATCTCAACCCAATTGAGCATGCATTTCACTTGCTGAAGGCAAAACTAAAGGCAGAAAGACCCACAAACAAAGAGCAACTGAAGACAGCTGCAGATAGAGCCTGGCAAAACATAAGAAAGGAGGAAACCCAGTCTTTGGTCATGTCCATGGGTTCCAGACTTCAGGCAAAGCATCAGAAAGCAGGAAACCCAGTCTTTGGTAATGTCCATGGGTTCCAGACTTCAGGCAAAGCATCAGAAAGGAGGAAACCCAGTCTTTGGTCATGTCCATGGGTTCCAGACTTCAGGCAAAGCATCAGAAAGGAGGAAACCCAGTCTCTGGTCATGTCCATGGGTTTCAGACTTCAGGCAGTCATTGCCAGTAAAGGATTCTCAACAAAATATTACAAATGAACATTTTATTTATGATTATATTAATTTGTCCAATTACTTTTGGTCCCTTGAAAAAGGGGGGGTGGCTGCTCTTAAGAGCTGTAATTCCTAAACCCTTCCTCAAATTACACCTGAGAGTGCGCACTTTCATCCCATATCCATTATATAACTATAGCTTCAGTATGTTTTGATAAATACCTGGAATCAAAAAAAGTTAAAATTGTGCCTGTGTCCAACTATATATGGACCTAACTGTATATTTGATGATTTAAAACAGTTTATTGATATTCTTGTTTTATTTTCACTCTGTATTCCAAAGGCTGTTTTTTTTTTTTGTTTTTTAATTTTGAACATGTGACCAGTAGCAGAGGACTAGAAGCTGCTTCTGCAACTGTTTCCCTGCAGCAAGAGCTGAGTCATGTGACAGCTGTATATTGATTAGGAAAAAATGAACTTATTTTTTTTTCTTTTTAATTAAATAATTACAGTGACAGCATCCACATACAGAAATAGAAGGAATAATGCAAATTGTACAGTGGGGAGATTTACTAAAACTGGAGAGTGAAAATCTGGTGCAGCTCCGCATAGAAACCAATCAGCTATCAGGTTTTATTGCCAAAGCTTAAATGAACAAGCTGAAGTTAGAAGCTGATTGGCTACCATACACAGCTACACCAGATTCTGAGTGCACCAGTTTTAGTAAATATCCCCCAGTGTGTGTTTAGTATCGCTTCAAAGCCTTTACATGCAATTTTAAAGGGAAATACAGTATATTGCCAAAAAAGTATTGGGACAGCCCTCCAAATCATTGGATTCAGGTGTTCCAATCCCCTCCATATCATGTGATTCAGGTGTTCCAATCCCCTCCATGGCCACAGGAGTATACAATCAAGCTCCTAGGCATGCAGACCGCTTCTACAAACATTGGTGAAAGAATGGGTCGCTCTCAGGAGTTCAGTGACTCCAAGCGTGGTCCCGTGAGAGGTTGTCACCTGTGCAATAAGTCCATCCATGACATTTCCTGGCTTCTAAATATTCCACGCTCAACTGTTAGTGGGATTATAACAAAGTGGAAGCAACTTGGAACAACAGCAACTCAGCCACCAAGTGGTAGGCCACATCACATGACAGGGCGGGGTCAGCGCATGCTGAAGCGCACAGTGCGCAGAAGTCGCCAACTGTCTGCAGAGACAATAGCTAAAGACCTCCAAACTTGGTGTGGCCTTCAGATGAGCACAACAACAATGCATAGAGAGCTTCATGGAATAGGTTTCCATGGCTGAGCAGCTGCATCCAAGCCTTCCATCACCAAGTGCAATGCAAAGCGTCAGATGCCGTGGTGTAAAGCACGCTGCCACTGGACTCTAGAGCAGTGGAGACATGTTCTCTGGAGTGACCAATCATGCTTCTCTGTCTGGCAATCTGATGGACGTGTCTGGGTTTGGAGAACGTGGGGAACCGGATATAGTGCATGCAGGATCCGGGGAGAGCGGATATAGTGAATCCAGGGTCCGGGGAGACCAGATATAGTGAATGCAGGGTCCGGGGAGACTGGACATAGTGAATGCAGGGTCTGGGGAGACCAGATCTAGTGAATGAAGGGTCCGGGGAGAGCGGATATAGTGAATGCAGGGTCCGGGGGGAGCGGATATAGTGAATTCTGGGTCGGGGGGAGCAGATACAGTGAATGCAGGGTTCGGTGAGAGCGGATACAGTGAATGCGGGGTCCGGGGAGACTGGATACAGTGAATGCGGGGTCCGGGGAGAGCGGATACAGTGAATGCGGGGTCCGGGGAGAGCGGATACAGTGAATGCGGGGTCCTGGGTTTAGTAACACTTTAACTTCCTCTCATAAAAGTGCTGGGATCCTTTGCTCTCATAATAAGACATTATCACCCCCTCCTCAATGGGAGCACACTCCCCAACGTCGATTACCAGCAGTCAGAAATAATTGAAACTCCCTAGCTTTTACATTTGACCTACGAGAAAATGGCCGTCTTTCACTAATCCCTCGTACTACGCAGGTGCGAACTCGTCACCGTAGCAACCAGGCTGCCGCTTTCAGGCTGAGGAGCGCGCACCGCAGACAAGAAGCGGCTGTTCCACCTGGCACCGCCCATCGCCTCCAGCAAACACTAGAGGGCAAAGCCCCCAACCAACATGTCTCTTAAAAAAAAAAAAAAAGATGCAACCACGGGGTTGTCATTGAAAAATGGGACAGGTTCCGCAAATATTTACAAAATGTCATATACAATGTTTGCACTTATCAGTTCCCATTTTAGAGGTAATTTTTTGTTTTATATTTTATTACAGAACAGAGTACTAGGGCTGGTGGCCATTTTCTTGTAGCCCACAGATGGAGGAGGCGTTCTTCCTGGAAATGCCTGGTGTTGTCTATTAGACTGGAGATTGCCTACTAAGGAGGAGGTAATAATAATCATAATAATAAATCATTTCTTAATATTATGAGAGAAGGGGGTCCCAGCACTGGGTGTGGACTGGATAAGGAAGGGGGGGGGGGGGTCATGTCACCTCCACAAATCTTCATCTCCCTGCAACACCTCTGATGAGGAGAACATTGGATGGGGGGCTCCACTGGGGGCGATAGCTTTTCCAGAATACCCTGTGCTACATACAGTGCTGGCCTGTTCCATGTGCTTGAGCGACTTGCTATCTGTATATTGAACACAGGGGAACACACTTGCCCAGCACCTCCACCATTCAGAGAACACATTGTATTTTTCAATAAATGCAAAGCGTTATCTGGTTGGATGAGGCAGAGAGAAGGGGCAAATGAGGTCACAATCTCAGCCTTGTCCAATCAGAGAATGTCTCTTTATTCACTTAAAAAAAAAACAAGACGTTCTCTGAATGGCGGAGGTGCTAAGTGAGCGACCTCCTGCACTCAGTATACAGACAGTAGGTAGCTCAAGCAACACCAGCGCTGACTGTATGTAGCACAGGCTATTACAGATAAATTCTGCATCCCCAGTGACCCTCCAGATGGGAGATTTTAACCACTTAAATCGGAGCTCCACTCAAAAGGGGAAGCTCCACGGGCTTTGTCCCCCACTCCCCATTAAGGATTGGCATCTTTTGGGGAGGGGGTTACCCAAATTTGACAGGCACCCGCTCTCACTTCCTCTGCGATCGCCTATGCGATCGGAAGCAGAAGTTGTCCTCCCTCCCCATAGTCTTCTGGGACACGTAACAGGTCCCAGATGACTACGGGGCCATTCGCAAAGAGCAGTGCTTCTCGCGCATGCGCAGTGGGCACCCGGCTGAGAAGCCGCAAGCTGTCATAACCGGGTGCCCACACTAAAGATGGTGGTGCCAGGGAGAGAAGATGGCCAGTGAAACCAGCCGTGGTGAGGACACCGCTGGACTGAGGGACAGGTTAGTGTCTGTATTTTAAAAGTCAGCAGCTACAGTTTTTGTAGCTGCTGACTTTTTTTTTTCAGCTGGAACTCCGCTTTAAGTGATTTACCATACAGTCATCCTGTGGGATCCCAACAATTAAAAGCTGCCCAGTCCTCACCAGTTCAAAAGCAGGGGCCAAAGATAGATGTTTACTTATTTTCAGGATGAAGTGGAATAAGTGCTGCAGCTCCTGACAATTAAAATTTTGGCCTTTATGTCCCCCAGCAGTGATCTGTATTTATCTAGTGCAGAAAAATGTGGGTCACCATTAATAGTGTGAATGAGCAAATTTAACATTACTTCGTTTTAATTGATGTGTTACAGTGTTAAAAAAAATCACATATTCCAAGAACAGACTCCCATGCCGAGAAGTGGGAGTGTATGAAAGTGCACAAGGACCTGTGGAAGAATGTCATGATGGAGAACCCGCTGCCCCTCACATCACCGGGTAAGAGGAGACTTTAATTTCTTGTATTGAGGATCCACCTAGATACACACATCCTCTGATAGAAATACATAGAAACAATAGAGGATTGGGAGTATATAGAAGGACACAAGAATCTGTAGAAGGACGTCATGATGGAGAACCGGCCATCCCTCACATCACCAGGTAAGAGGAGACTTTCATTTCTTGTATTGAGGATCCACCTAGATACACACATCCTCTGATATAAAGACATAGAAACAATAGAGCAGTAGGAGTATATAGAAGGACACAAGGATCTCTACAAGGACGCCATGATGGAGATCCTTCTGCCCCTCACATCACCGGGTAAGAGGAGACTTTCATTTCTTGTATTGAGGATCCACCTAGATTCACACATCCTCTGATATAAAGACATAGAAACAATAGAGGAGTGAGAGTATATAGAAGGACACAAGAATCTCCACAAGGACGTCATGATAGAGATCCTTCTGCCCCTCACATCACCGGGTAAGAGGAGACTTTCACTTCTTGTATTGAGGATCCACCTAGATACACACATCCTCTGATATAAAGACATAGAAACAATGTATTCACTCAGTGTGTGTGTTTCCTACAGATGGATCCAGTAATGGGAACCCACCAGAGAGATGTCCCCGTCCTCTGTATTCCCGGGACTCCACACAGGACCATCAGGAGAGCCCTCAGGAAGACCAAGTAGGAGGAACTAAACATTTTCATTTAAAATTCTTCTACTTCCATCGTACGTCAGGCTTTTTAAATACTTGTATATGATGTTGACCTATCTAGGGTGAAGACCTAGTTACTGTTAAAGTCGAAAATGAGGAAAGGATTTCTATGATGGATGTTGAGCAGCAAGAGGAGATCCCTCCGGAGATCAGCACAGGTGAGGAATAAACACTAAATCCAGAGAAGAGTCCCAGATCCTCCTTGTTCAGTCACTACAACAATCTCTTCTTCTCCCCCCTCCGTCAGTAGACAGTAATGGGGGGGGGGGGGGACAGTATGTGCCCAGTGGGGGGGGTCAGGAGCCATCAGCCTCTATTAGACTCCGGCTCTCCTCCTCACATCATGTCATTGAGACGTGACCAGTCTCCCCCAAACACACTCTCTGGGGTTTCTCATACATCTCAGTACAGGGGGCTTCACTCTCATCTTTATTCACAGACCCCGGAGACACCAGAGAGACTTTGAGAGATGTCAAACCTGAGGAGGAGGAAGAAGGACGTGTGAGGATTAAAGAGGAGAGAACTCCTATAGAAATCAGCAGAGGTGAGTAGTAAATGGAAATCACCGATTCTTGTTACTTCTGTAAATGTTTTTTGTTTCACTTCAAGAGTGTTTTATTTGCAGTGGCTTGTAGAAGGGTAACTATAATACTTTTGGAAAATTGATAATTCCTTGATTTAGGGTTTTGGCTCAAGTCGGCCTATTGGCTGAGACCGAATGCAGTATCTGTTGATATCAGTACTCAGTAGGGGTGCTCTGTCATCATTCTAGCCTGGTGGTTGCCTGTAGTATCCCTGCTGGTATGATGGTGGTCTTGTAGGATCTTACAGTGGAAATAGAAACTGGAGCCCGAGCGGTGGAGGCCAGGAGTAACTCCCTAGTGGAGAATTCCGAGGGGCCCATTGCCTGTTGATTTGAGCAGTGCTACCTGGTTTGGCCAGGGACTGGGAAGGCAGAGAGCCCATGGTGTTAAGCACCTCTGGGAGTGGCATCCCAGGGATGCTGATTATGGGTGTAGGATCTCATTGTGATAAAGGGCACTCAGACACAACAATAAAGCTTTTTGCACAAGGCCTCATGGGCTAGGCCTTTTGGCCAAGACAGGGGCATTGTTTGTAACCAGGCTGCAAGGCCTAGTCATTGTCTAGCACATTGCCACCTTTTTCTTATTATTTCTTCACATCTGTCGCTCTTTTTTGTGAGTCACCTTTCACTCAGATTGTAGAGTGTGGGTTTTCAGACTTACCCTGATGTATAGGGGGAGGATGTGTGGCCATCAGGTTCCTTCTTCCCCTGCCTTGGGGGTGGTCTTTCTTCGAGAGAGCTTCCCACTCAGTACTCGTTTGGCTTTGTCTGACCATAAAGAATGGGGTCCATCAGGCCTTTTGGTGTGCATTATCCTTTCAGGAGCCTTGTGCTCTGGGGGGGTCAGGGAGGGGTCCTTCTTCTTTAGGAGGGACTATTTGACACATCCTAGTGCATTTTTTTGTGTGTGTCTGTTCACATGCACTTTTTTGGTTTACTTTGGTGGGGTTTTTTGCGCACTGCACGGCAAGCTATAAAAAAAAAAAGAGGGTCAAACTGGAAATTGTTTGTTTTTCTGTCCACGACTTAAGCTGGCCACAGATGGATCGTATCTCAGCCAACTCAGCAGGTACCAGCCGAGATTTGATCATGAGTGGGCAGGCTGGTTGTACTCAAGTCGATCCATTGATTGACTTGGATAAAATCAGCCTGTCGGGTTTTGGGGGATTGGGGGAATTTTCAATCATTTGACATTGTATAAGACATGACGTTGGTATCTAAGATTTGCAGGATTGGGCAGTCTCTTTGCTGAATATATGAGGATGCCTCTTTTCTGGATTGTGCTGTCTCTTTGCTGAATACATTGGGCTGTCTCTTTGCTGGATTGGGCTGTCTATTTGCTGAATATTTGGGGCTGTCTCTTTACTGGATTGGAATGTCTTTTTGCTGAATATATGGGGATGTATTTTTGCTGGATTGTGCTGTCTCTTTGCTGGATTGTGCTGTTTCTTTGCTGAATATTTGGGGCTGGCTCATTGCTGAATTGGGCTGTCTCTTTGCTGAATTGGGCTGTCTCTTTGCTGAATATTTGGGGCTGTCTCTTTGCTGGATTGGAATGTCTTTTCGCGGAATATATGGGGATGTCTCTTTGCTGGATTGTGCTATCCCTTTGCTGAATATTTGGGGCTGGCTCATTGCTGAATTGGGCTGTCTCTTTGCTGAATAAATGGGGATATCTCTTTGAATATTTGGGTCTGTCTCTTTGCTGAATATTTGGAGCTGTCTTTTTGCTAAATATATGGGATTGTCACTTTGCTATATGGGTCTGTCTCTTTGTTGGATTGGGATGTTTCTTTGATACTGAATATTTGGAGATGTCTCTTTGCTGAAAATATGAGGATGTCTCTGAATATTTGGGGTGGTCTCTTTGCTGTATTGGGCTGTCTGCTGAATATATGGGGATGTCTCTTTGCTGGATTGGGTAATCTCTTTGCTGAATACATGGAGATGCCTCTTTGCTGGATTGTTCTGTCTCTTTGCTGAATATATGGGGGTGCCTCTTTGCTAGATTGGGCTGTCTCTTTGAATATATGGGGATGTCTTTGTTGGATTGAGCTCTCCCTATTTGCTCAATATTTGGGGCTGCCGCTTTTCTGGATTGGGATGTCTCTTTGCTGAATATATGGGGATGTCGCTGCTGAATATTTGGGGCTGTCTCTTTTCTGGTTTGGGCTGTCTCTGCTGAATATATGGGGATTTCTCTTTACTGAAAATATGGGGCTGTTTCTTTGCTGGATTGGGCTGTCTCTTTGCTGAATATATGGGGATATCTATTTGTTGAATATTTGGGGCTGCCTCTTTTTTGGGTTGGGTTCTTTGCTGAATATATGGGGTTGTCTCTTTGTTAAATATTTGGGTCTGTCTCTTTGTTGTATTGGGATGTATCTTTGATGACTAGAGACTATATGGGGTTGTCTCTTTTCTCGATTGGGCTGTCTCTGCTGAATATATGGGGATTTCTCTTTACTGAATATATGGGGCTGTATCTTTTCTCGATTGGGCTGTCTCCTTGCTGAATATATGGGGATTTTCCTTTGCTGAATATTTGGGGCTTCCACTTTTCTGGATTGGGCTCTTTGCTGAATATATGGGGCTGACTCTTTGCTGAATATTTGGGGCTGTCTTTTTGCTGAATATTTGGGGTTGCCTCTTTTCTGGATTGGGCTCTTTGCTGAATATATGGGGCTGTCTCTTTTCTGGATTTGGATGTCTCTGCTGAATATATGGGGCTGTCTCTTTGCTAAATATAAGGGACTGTCTCTTGGCTATATGGGTATGTCACTTTGTTGCATTGGGATGTATCTTTGATGACTATATGGGGTTGTCTCTCTGCTGAATATATATGGATGTCTGTTTGCTGGAGTAGATTGTCTCCTTGAATATATGGGGATGTCTCTACTGAATATATGGGGGTGTCTCTTTTCTGGATTAGGCTGTCTATTTGCTGGATATTTGGGGCTGTCTCTTTGCTGGATTTGGATGTCTCTTTTCTAAATATATGAGGCTCTTTGCTGAAAATATGGGGATGTCTCTTTGCTGGATTGGGCTATATCTTTGTTGAATATATGGGGATGTTTGTCTGCTGGATTGAGCTGTATCTTTGCTGAATATATGGGGATGTCTATTTTGTGAATATTTGGGATCTTTTTGCTCAATATATAGAGATGTCTCTTTGCTGGATTGGGATGTATTTTTACTGATTATATGGGGGTGTCTCTTTGCTGGATTGGGCTGTTTCTTTGCTGAATACATGGGGCTGTCTCTTTGCTGGATTGGGATGCCTCTTAGCTGGATTATGATGTCACTGCTGAATATATGGAGCTGTCTCTTTGCTAAATATGAGACTGTCTCTTTGCTGAATTGGAATGTCTCTTTGTTGAATATATGGGACTTTTTCGTTGCTGAGTATATGCGGATGTCTCTTTGTTGAATATATGGGGCTGTTTCTTTGCTGAATATATGGGGCTGTCTTTTTGCTAAATTTTTGGAGCTCTCTCTTTGCACAACTGGGCTGTTTCTTTGCTGAATATATGGGTCCGTTTCTTTGCTGGATTGGAATGTCTCTTTGTTGAATATATGGGGCTGTCTCTTTGCTGGATGGGGATGTCACTTTGCTGAATATAAGGGGCTGTCTCTTTGCTGAATATATGGGGATGTATCTGCTGAATATATGAGGATGTTTGTTTGCTGGATTGGGCTGTTTCTTTGCTGCTTTTTGTCCAAAGTATAATTCCTTAATGTTAAATCTTGAAAGCACTGATGATTTGGAATACACTTTTAATTTTCATATATTAAGTTGTAAGGCTCCATGTACACGTGCAGCTCCTAAACTTGAGCTTAAGAGCTTTTGGCATATTTTTGCCAAAGCTCCTAAACTCAACTCCATAAAAAACCTGTGTCCATGTACACATAGGCTTTTATCAGAGTTTAAGAGCTTCCACTTTTTTTTTTTCTTCGCTATAGCTCACAGAATTAGCTGTCACTTTCCCCAGAGCTAAAGGAAACAAAGTTTCTTTTTAGTTTATTTCAGGAGTTAAAAGAAACAATGTTTCCTTTAGCTCCAGTGAAAGTGACAGCTAATTCTGTGAGCTATAGTGAAGAAAAAAAAAAAATCCGGCAATTGCATTTAAAAATCAGCACTGACATATAGTGCCAGCCAGTGAGGGAGCCTCTCTGTATACACTGCTACCTCACTGTATACACTGCTCCTCTCCTTGCACACACTGCCCCCCCCCCCCCCTACAATGAAATCATAAGTTAAAAAAAAAAAAAAAATATATATATATATATATATATATATATATATATATATATATATACCGTATTTTCCGGCATATAAGACAACTTTTTACCCCTTGAAAATCTTCTCAAAAGTCGTGGGTCGTTTTATACGCCGGTATACGGCATGCTGACACTTTTTAGGGGGGCGGTGGTGGCCCTTCCAGCGGAAGGGACGCTAAGTACAGGGGTGGGCAGGGCTGCTGTTTCTTACCTTGCTCCGGTCCCGCGACGATCCGGTCCAGGAAGCGCGGCTGCTCCTTCATTCAGTTCGGCCACTGGATGTTCGCGCGGCTGCTCGGCTCCGCCTCCTCACTGGTGATTGGCCGCCAGAACTGTAGCTCAGGAAAGGCACACAGGTCGCCAATCACCGGCGACGAGGCGGAGCCGAGCGCCCCCCAAAAATCGAGTGAAGGAGCGGCCGGTAAGTGTGCCGTACAGAGGTTCTGCTTCAACCACATATGCTGGCTGCAGCAGCACCTTACTGGAACAGGGGTCAGCAAGTGTCATTGGTGTCGCAAGTGTCATTGGTGTCAGTGGGAGGAATAGTGCCCCATCATTGGTGTCACTGATACCAATGATGGGGCATTATTCCTCCCACTGACACCAACGATGGGGCACTTTTCCTCCCCCCCACTGACACCAACGATGGGGCACTATTCCCCCCCCACTGACACCAATGATGGGGCACTATTCCACCCCCACTGACACCAAATATTGCAATACTATTCCTCCCACTGACACCAATGTTGGGACACTATTCCTCCCACTGACACCAATCTTGGGACACTATTCCTCCCACTGACACCAATGATGGGGCACGATTCCTCCCACTGACACCAAAGATGGGGCACTATTCCCCCCACTGATACTAATGATGGGGCACTAATCCTGCCACTGATACCAATGATGGGGCACGATTCCTCCCACTGACACCAATGATGGGGCGCTATTCCTCCCACTGACACCAATGATGGGGCACTATTCCTCCCACTAATACCAATGATGGGGCACTATTCCTCCTATTGATACCAATGATGGGACACTATTCCTCCTATTGATACCAATGATAGGGCACTATTCCTCCCACTGATACCAATGATGGGGCACTATTCCTCCTATTGATACCAATGATGGGGCACTATTCCTCCCACTAATACCAATGATGGGACACTATTCCTCCCACTGACACCAACGATGGGGCACGATTCTTCCCACTGGTGTGCATTGGAAGAGGGGTAGTCATATACAGCGAGTATAGCCCAAACACTACATTTTAACAGGAAAAGTAGGGGGTCGTCTTATACGCCGGAAAATACGGTATATATATTACACACATATACTGTGTGTGTATATATATATATATATATATATATATACAGTGGGGATCGAACGTTTGGGCACCCCAGCTAAAAATTTGTATTAATGTGCATAAAGAAGCCAAGGAAAGATGGAAAAATCTCCAAAAGGCATCAAATTACAGATTAGACATTCTTATAATATGTCAACAAAAGTTAGATTTTATTTCCATCATTTACACTTTCAAAATAACAGAAAACAAAAAAAATGGCGTCTGCAAAAGTTTGGGCACCCTGCAGAGTTAATATCTTGTACTGCTCCCTTTGGCAAGTATCACAGCTTGTAAACACTTTTTGTAGCCAGCCAAGAGTCTTTCAATTCTTGTTTGAGGTATCTTTGCCCATTCTTCCTTACAAAAGTCTTCCAGTTCTTTGAAATTTCTGGGCTGTCTGTCACGCACTGCTCTTTTAAGGTCTATCCATAGATTTTCAATTATGTTGAGGTCAGGAGATTGTGAAGGCCATAGCAAAACCTTCAGTTTACGCCTCTTGATGTAATCCCCCGTGGAATTCGAGGTGTGTTTAGGATCATTATCCATTTGTAGAAGCCATCCTTTCTTTAACTTCAGCTTTTTCACAGATTGCATCAAGTTACCATCCAAAATTTGCTGAAATTTTATTGAATCCATTTTTCCTTCTACTCGTGAGATGTTCCCTGTGCCACTGGCTGCAACACAACCCCAAAGCATGATTGATCCAACCCCATGCTTAACAGTTGGACAGAGGTTCTTTTCATTAAATTCTGTTCCCCTTCTTCTCCAAACGTACCTTTGCTCATTCCGGCCAAAAAGTTCAATTTTAACCTCATCGGTCCACAAAACTTGTTTCCAAAATGCATCAGGCTTGTCTATATTTTGCAAAGTTCAAACGATGATTTTTTGTGGTGAGGACGTAGAAGAGGTTTTCTTCTGATGACTCTTCCATGAAGACCATATTTGTACAAGTATGTCTTAGTGTACCACAACTCCAGTGTCTGCCAGATCTTTCTGGAGGGATCGTGCAGTCAAACGTGGGTTTTGAATTGTTTTTCTCACAATCCTGCGAGCTGTTCTGTCTGATATTTTTCTTGGTCTTCCAGATCTTGCTTTAACTTCCACTGTTCCTGATGACTGCCATTTCTTAATTACATTCCGAACAGAGGATATTGACATCTGAAAACGCTTTGCTATCTTCTTATAGCCTTCTCCAGCTTTGTGAGCGTCAACTATTTTCAGTTTCAGTTTTCTAGACAACTGCTTAGAAGAACCCATGGTGCTGATTGTTGGGGCAAGGTCAGATGAGTCTGGGCATTTAAAACCTTTGAGATTGACATAACCTGGTCTTCCCAGACGATCATTGAGAACAATCCATGACACTGGCAGGTCTCAGCTTGGCAGAGGGGGCAGTGCATGCTATAAATTCTGCAGGGTGCCCAAACTTTTGCAGACGCCATTTTTTTGGTTTCTGTTATTTTGAAAGTGTAAATGATGTAATAAAATCTAACTAACTTTTGTTGACATATTATAAGAATGTCTAATCTGTAATTTGATGCCTTTTGGAGATTTTTTCATCTTTCCTTGGCTTCTTTATGCACATTAATACAAATTTTTAGCCGGGGTGCCCAAACTTTCGATCCCCACTGTATATATACCAACACACACACACATATATATATATATATATATATACATACATACATACATACACACACACACAAATATACACACACATATATATACACACATGAAAGTAGAAAAAAAAAAATTGGAGCCTCACCACCCCCACATACGCAGACATTTCAGTTCTGATTCGGTTTTCGACCACATGCATTCTGAATGTTCAGTATTGGTACCAGAATTTTCATTTTGGTGCACCACTAACTGGTTGGCCTTTTGTCTTTTTTCAGCCAGACTAACTATGTAACTAATCAAAATTAATATACAAAAATGAGAACATGAGTATGTAATATTGTTTAAAAAAAAGAGAGAAGAGCAGAGAAAAAGAAGAAAGAGGAGAGGAAAAAAAATGGCACTATTATTAAATGTATATATTATGGATGATATATTAAAGGATAAGTTCACTTTTTTAAAAATAAAAAAACAAATAATAATGAATGCACATCTTTTTGCAGGTTAAAAAATGTCTATTTATATTTTTTTTTTAACATGGGGCCTAGAAAGCATTGCACGTACGATCAGCAGATCATGAGTACCATGCAGGATTCCTGCAGACCTGTCAGTTTATCGGTCTGCTCGTATCCGGTACGGGAAGGCAGTTTTACACTGACAGAAAAAGGCAATGAGCAGCGCTCCACAGCACCATGGTAGGTCTTTGGGGAGTAGAAGCCAACAGCCGCAAAGGCTTTCGGGACTTATAGTCTTCCCATTCCCCAGAATTCTGCAATTGAATAATGCGGCCAGGTAGGTAGAGCCCCCACAGTCGCATTAAAAAAAAAAAAATTATTGACAGCTAGCGGGAGGAGAAGATTCCTCTGCTAGCTGTCACTAGATGCAGAAGAGCGGGCAACAGCTCTGGGAGTGGGAACGTGCTACATGTTCCACCCTAAAAATGGGTGTAACATGCTCCCAAAGGAGAATTTCAGTTCTCATTATATTACACTACAAGCCAAGGAGACTGTGGAGATTCTCTAGGGCACGGGTGTCAAACTGGCGGCTGTTGCCAAACTACAAGTCTAATGAGACATTGCAAGATTGACAGTTACAAGCATGATTCCCAAAGCCAGCGGCATGATGGGACTTCGCAACAGCTGGAGGGCCGCCAGTTTTTGACACCCCTGTTCTAGGGTGTAGAAGCTGCCTGCCCGGGAACCAGGTCATTTACACCAACATTAATACCTTAACATTGATAATAATAACAACAATACCAGTAGGATAACCCTACGGGTCTTCTGCTTTCCTCAATTACACATGGATGAGGCTGGGTGCCATATCATCGTTAATAGTGCACTCTAAACCTCTTGCATTAAGCGCTGGACTGATTTTTCTACAAGTTTTTTATTGCTGGGGACTCCGCTCCACTTTGGGGCTCCATTGGAGAGATTTCCCCTCATTTCTTCGACCTGTGGCACAAGGACAAGAAATTAAGGGAATGAGGGTCAATGGTATGGGAAGATTAGGACAGCGATAAAACTTCAGAGTTCCTAACATTTTATCAATGTCCTGATATTTTTTTTTTTTTAACTAACTAATATATATTAACTATAACAACTAATAATATATATAATATAATAAAATAACTCTAATAACTAATATATAATATAATGTAATAACTATAATAACTAATAATATATATAATATAATAATATAATCTATAATATAATAATATACTATAATAACTAATAATATAATAATTATAATAACTAATACTATATATTATATAATATATAATTATAACTAATAATATATACAATATATATATAATAATATAATAATTATAATATAATAATATACTATAATAACTAAAAATATTTGTCTGAAATTCAGCTTTATTAACCTTATACATGTCTTATTTCCTTTAGATGAACAATACAGAAGTGACACCGAAGAGCTTCCATTGCCCCTCCAGACAGTGAAATAGAAGGTGATGAGGCCACATCTGATTCTTCAGAAGAAATCCCCATTGCCACAATTCATCATACTGGAGTATCTCCTAGTGCAGGTCTACCACTCAAAGCCTCTACATGTTGGGGATGGCATCCTGACCATGCCTATCATGTCACCCAGCAAGTTCCCAAGACAGAAGATAGAAATTTCCCGTGTTATGAGTGTGGGGAGTCTTTTGCCCAGATAGAAGAACTTATATCACATCGAGCAAGTCACAAGGTTGAAAAGTCGTTTTTCATGTCCCGATTGTGGAAAGTTTTTTTGCTCGGAGATCCAACCTCCTTCAGCATCAGAAAATTCACACAGGGGTGAAGCCTTTTGAATGTTTGGAATGTGGGAGAGGTTTTACTGAGAGATCCAGTCTTGTTCAACATGAGAGAATCCACAGAGGCATCAAGCCTTTTTCATGTTCCCACTGCGGGAAAAGCTTTACTCAGAGATCCAGTCTTACGGAACATGAGAGGATTCACACGGGTCTGAAACCATATTCATGTTCTGAATGTGGCCGATGTTTCGCTAAAGGATCAAATCTTACAGCCCATCTGAGAATGCACTCCGGGGAGAAGCCATTTTCCTGCGCTGAATGCGGTAAAAGCTTTCTCTTTAAGTCGTATCTTATAGTACACGAAAGAATTCATACCGGGGAAAACCCGTTTACATGTTCGGAGTGTGGGAAGTGTTTTTCTCAGAAACAACATCTGATTTCACACCAGGGGACTCACACGGGCAAAAAGCCGTTTTCATGTTCGGAATGCGGGAAATCCTTTTTCCAGAAAGCGCGTCTTACCTCCCATCAGATGACTCATACGGGCGAGATGCCTTATTCCTGTTCTGAGTGCGGGAAGTGTTTTTCTTTTAAACATCTACTCATGAAACACTATAGAGTGCACACGGGAGAGAAGCCTTTTTCATGTATAGAATGTGGAAAGCGTTTTTTTGAGAGAAAACGTCTGGTGTCCCATCAGAGATCTCACACCGGGGAGAAGCCATATTCCTGCTCAGAATGTGAACAGTGTTTTACGTCTAAACATTCACTCACAGTTCACCACAGAGGTCACACAGGAGAGAAGCCGTACTCATGTTCAGAGTGTGGGAAATGTGTCACCACAAGGTCCAGTCTTGCCAAACACCAGGCACGTCACACGGGGATGAAGCCATTTTCCTGCTCTATATGCAACAAGCGGTTTTTTCACAAATCCATTCTGATCACACATGAAAGACTTCACACAGGGGAGAAGCCGTATTCCTGTTCTGAATGTGGCAAATGTTTTAGCGATCGATCTAATCTTACTTCACATCAAATAATTCACAATAGCGATCTTCAGTACTCCTGTTCAGATTGTGGGAAAGGTTTCAAAAGGAAGTCAGACCTGGCTTCTCATAGCAGTCGAATCCACAAGGGAGAACACCCTGTCTAGAAGTGGAAGATTCAAACGGAGAGACATAAAAGTGAACTTCAGCCAAATAAAATTGCCACATACAATACTTGGATCCAGTACCACATTCATCAAACAGTCATTTATTAAATAAAAGTTTTGTTCATGAAAGGATTATTATTATTATACAGTATTTATAAAGCGCCAATAGTTCGCTCAGCGCTGTACATTACAAAGGGGGACAGAACATGTGACAGAACAATACCAATACAATGCAAAACATGAGGGGATCGAGGGCCCTGCTCTTTCGAGCTTACAATTAATAATATGTTGGGAATGTAAAGGATTTCTCATGGATGAATTCAGAATAAACTAAATAAAAAGCCTGGTGAGTTTAATGTTTTGTGATTGATTTTTATTATAACATTTCTTAAAAAGTTTGTACATTTTAACCTGTTTTTTTTTTTTTTTTTTTATTTGCCAGAAATATTTTATGACCAAAGTTTACAATGTAGTAATCCATGACATTCTAAATTTAAAATATGCAAATAAACCCGGTCTGCAAACTTGATGGCAGCCTTTTCATAAACTTTCTGACCTCTGCTCCTGTTAAAGCTGATATCCATGTTTTAGTAAAATTTAGCTACTTCCATACCGGCTAATGAACATTTACATCGCTTGTTTGGAAGGTTATACCGGGACACATTGTTTTAATTTTAGCCAGCCATGCTCTATTTCAGTGGACTCCAGACTGCAGCCAGAGGGCCACGTACTGACTTATACAGGCCTTATCTGGTCCTTCAGGCAGTATTCCTCCTACAGACATAAGGCACTATCTCTCCTTTTGGCACTAATGGTGGGGCATAATTCCTCCCACTCATACCAATGATGGGACACTATTCCTCCCACTGATACCAATGATGGGACACTATTCCTCCCACTGATACCAATGATGGGACACTATTCCTCCCACTGATACCAATGATGGGGCACTATTCCTCTCACTGATACCAATGATGGGATACTATTCCTCCCACTGATACCAATGATGGGGCACTATTCCTCCCACTGAAACCAATGATGGGGCACTATTCCTCTCACTGATTCCAATGATGGGACACTGTTCCTCCCACTGATACCAATGATGGGATAGATACTATTCTTCCCACTGATACCAATGATGGGACACTATTCCTCCCACTGATACCAATGATGGGGCAATATTCCTCCCACTGATACCAATGATGGGGCAATATTCCTCCCACTGATACCAATGATGGGACATTATTCCTCCCACTAATACCAATGATGGGGCGCTATTACTCTCACATACCAATGATGGGGGGCAATGACTATTCCTCCCACTGATACCAAATGGGGCATGGGGCATGGGGGCATATTTCCTGATACCATGATGGGGCAATATTACCAATGATACCAATGATGGGGCAATATTCCTCCCACTGATTCCAATGATGGGACATTATTCCTCCCACTAATACCAATGATGGGGCACTATTACTCTCACATACCAATGATGGGGCACTATTCCTCCCACTAATACCAATGACGGGGCACTGTTCCTCCCACTGATACCAATGATGGGGCACTATTCCTCCCACTGATACCAATGATGGGGCACTATTCCTCCCACTGACACCAATGATGGGGCACTATTCCTCCCACTGACACCATGATGATAAAGCACTATTCCTCCCACTGATGCCAATGATGGGGAATTATTCCTGACACTCACCAATGATGGGGCACTATTTTTCTCACTGACACAAATGATGGGGTACTATGCCTCTGACAAAAACCAAAGATGGCTTACTATTCCTCCCAGTAATAGCAATGATGGGGCACTATTCCTTCCACTAATATCAATGATGGGGGCACTATTTCTTCCACTGATGCCAATGATAGGGCATTTTTCCTTCCACTGAAATCAATGATGGGGTACTATTCCTTCCATTAATACTAATGATGGGCTTTTATTCCTCCTAGTAATACCAATGACAGGGTACAATTTTTCTCAGTAACACCATTGATGGGGCTCTATTCCTCCCACTGATACCAATGATGGGGTATTATTCCTCCCAGAAATACCAATGATGGGGCACTATTTCTCCCACTGATGCTAATGATGGGGAACTATTCCTCTCACTGATACCAATGATGGGAAACTATTCCTCCCACTGATAAGAGGATAAAAAATATATATAGTAAGTGCTCATCGACAGTCACAGCAACTGAACATTAAAGGAAAACGCATAAAAAGTCCCAAAATTCATATATAAACAAAATGCAGCGCTCTTAAGGAAATGATGAATAATAATAAACACAGTCCAGTGAAAACAGTGCTCCGTGATTCCCAGTGCAAATGGTAGAAATTCACACTAACCAGAACGCGTATAAGTAATACGCATGTGTGTATATATCCTGAAGACTCTCCTCTCAGGTCTGGTCAGAGAATATAGCTGGGAAAGATGGAAATCCTACGCCCTCATGTGGTGAAAGAGTGGTCCTGCAGGTCTGGGAAGTGTCAATCTGGATGAGCCTCCCCCTTCACAGGAGCTGACACAAGGATCACTAGGGCTGCAGGGATTGAAGAAGCTTCTCACAGGAGACATAGGGAAGCACTCATAGTGTAGTAGGTAACGATTTTATTCCAAAACACAGGTGCAAAATGAACATCACATAGCCAAGTATGAAAAAACACTGACCCTTTGAGAAATTAAGGTGGCCGCGGGCCTCCTCGTGGCTGGAGACCTCCATGTGACTGGGAAGCCCGGGCGTCCGTATTGCGCAAGAGCGCATGCGCGGGCGCCATTTTACCGTGTGCCAATGATATACGATTTGACAAGCACTAATCGGGACAAAGTCCCTGCGGCCAAATGTCACTAACGCTGTTAGGCAATTGTAAAGTGAATAATGCTGTAATGGAAACCCCAATCTAAGGGTATCAAATGCAAAATAATGCACAAGAGAGGGGAATATATAAAAAAAGGGTGCAACAATAATATAAAATAGCCAGATCCAGGATTAGCAAAAGTACTGGTATCATGAATAAGGGGCCATTAAATCCATAAGCCCATTGCATAAAACGAAATTAATGGTTAAAAGTTGATATACTTGATCAAATTAAACCGTATACATAGGAAATAATCCTATATACAGGGCAAAAAACAACATGGTAAAATGGCATTTTAATAAGATCTATAAAATGCATGTCACATGGAGATTAATCAAAAAAATCATGTGTGGCAATTAAAACTAAAAATGTTAAAACACAAAATGGTAAACATATATATCTCATACCCATATATCATAAAAGGTCATAAAATTGAGAAAAATCATGATGCACTATTGGCACTAACCAAATGGGTGTGGAAAGGCCTGCTTGAAATCAAGGCTAGTGTCATATAAACGCATATAACAAATGGCCAGAAATATTAATTACGCTAAATACAGAGCAACTGGAAATATGGTCTAGTCCAGTCCCTCTTATCCATCCTGAGTATGTGTATAAATATTACAACTGAAATAATGCATATATATAGAGAAAATGAGATAGTAACGAAGTCAATACCCCGCCACCATATGGAGATAATTCTTATAATGAAAAATGTTATCAACATGGTTCCTGAGCATCGCAGGGTCAGCTATTGTCATATATAACAGTTGACATCCAGTTCGATGTTCAGACCTGCAGGGTATAGGGTATCCAATTCAAAAATATATTTTGTCTCTAATTGTGAGACGGCCCTAGTCTTAAGAGTTCCTCTCTGCAGTGTGAAGTTACAACATCGATGCCAACAAATCTCAGACTAGTGGGGTCTCTATGGTGGTGTTTCCTATAATGGAGGGACAAGGAATGTTCCTTGTACCCCTTCTTTATGTTGTTGACATGCTCCCAAAGGCGATCCCTCAGTCGCCTGGTCGTCCTCCCAATGTATTGCTTAAGGCAGGGGCATTCTAGTAGATACACAACATATCTGCTATTACAGCAAATAAATTTATCAATATTATACGATCTCTAGTTTGGTTAGATGAAAACATGTCTACCCTTCTTTTCCTCACACCATTACACTTGCAGGCAATGCATTTATTACATGGGTAAAAAACCCGTGTGGTTGAACAGAGTGGGAGGTGGTATGGGCATGGTGACAACATTGGGAGCTATTTTGTCCCGCAAAGTAGATGATTTACGGAAGATGACTTCAGGTTTCTCCGGAAGTACCTTAGCAAGGGTGGCATCAGCCTTCAAGATCCCCCAGTTTTTTTAGTAATTATGTGTTTAATAGATCTGTGTTGAACCGAAAATGTCGTAATGAATGGACAAACCAGATTTTTAGGTGGTTTAGTTTGGGTGCTTAGTAATTCCTGTCTGTCCGTGTTGGCTACTAATTCCATAATAACATTCAAACTCTCCCTATCATAACCTATCATTTTATATTATTGTTGCACCCCTTTTTTTATATATTCCCCTCTCTTGTGCATTATTTTGCATTTGATACCCTTACATGGGGTTTCCATTACAGCATCATTCACTTTACAATTGCCTAACAGCGTTAGTGACATTTGGCCGCAGGGACCGATTAGTGCTTGTCAAATCGTATCATTGGCACGCGGTAAAATGGCACCACGCGCATGCGCTCTTGCGCAATACGGACGCCCGGGCTCCAGACACATGGAGCACACCCCAGTCGCCTATGCACCTTTTTGCCCATGGTAAAAATGGCACCCGCGCGCATGCGCACTTGGTCAATGCGGACGCCGGGACTCCAGCAAGATGGCGCCGCACCAGTGCGCATGCGCCAGATACGGTACATATCTACGAGGAGATGGTCACGGCGGTCCTATGTTCCACCTCTGAAGAAGTGCGTGCGCACGAAACGCGTCAGTGGAACCCAGGACGCCATTGACACTAAGCCGCCGGTGCAACGAGGAGGCCCGGGGGGCCACCTTAATTTTCTCAAAGGGTCAGTGTGTTTTTCATACTTGGCTATGTGATGTTCATTTTGCACCTGTGTTTTGGA